GCAGTATAGCAAAACATCATCCAGCACTGAAGGGTTTTGTAAGAAAATTCTCTTTTGCCCATGAGCAAATTTAAACTGTCTCCCCCTGGACTGTTGCACTGTATCAAAAGTATTTCCTGTGAGAACTGCTAGTAGCAATTAGCAGAAGTAAATTATTTTGATTTTTTTTTTCCATTTTAGTTTGGTCTAAATTGAAGATTATCAAAAGCTAAAGTTCAAAGTGAATCTGATCTATTTATCTGTATAGTCTGTGGAGCAGGGGTACAGAGGGCTTCAGAAAAAAGACAGAAGACTGGCAACTGATCACATTTAACAAATAGGTTCTGATTTTTATAATTGAGATGCCAGGTTTTCTTGGGGGAAAGAGCGAGCATCCAAAAAAAAATAGAATTCTTGTGCCATATTCCTCTCCAAAGTATTTAGTCCTCAGGAATGTCTGTAGTATTTGAAATATTTTGAATATTCAGGTTAATCAGGATTCAAGAATCCAGAAGATTTCAAAATGTTACCATTAAAACCTTTGAGGTCATAAGAGCCTGGTTGCTTATCAGTTTGTTGGAAAACTTAGGACATGCAGCAGAATTTCTATTAATTGTGAATGTAAGTCCTGAATAAGACAAAAGATGTTTTTAAATCCTAGTCTTCCCATTTGGCTTTGCTGTAGAATTTTGACATGAAAAAGAAACAAAAATAGGAGAAATAATGCATTTATGGGGTATGGTTCTTTAGAAGAAGCTAAGTTGTTGAGCAGATCCTAAGTCATATTGATTAGAGGAATTTATTATGCAGTTGAAGGAAAAAGGAGGAAACTTATTTTAAATAAGCAGTTCCTGTTGGTACTTGAATCTTATTCTTGAATATTATTCTTAAGCAGCTAGAACCTATGGGAGGAAAAATATTTAGTAAATCACAAGTAGCAAAACTAATCAACACAATTTAACTCTAAAAAAATATATTCTGCAGACCTTTGAGACCCACATTGATTCTGAATGCAGAAGAATTATGGGAGTAAGAGTATTTTCTAAGATAAATTTAAATTACTCTATCCTGTGTATTCTATTCTGAAGTACAGCCTTGAATCAGAGCTGGACTCGAAGAGAAAAAAGAAGGGATCTACATTAGTTATGTGAGGGTGTTGTTTGAATATGTGCATCATTCAGCTCTAGAAAGGAGTTGCATCGAGGTCACAAAAGGATTGTTACTGAAAATTTCTGTGCATGAAGATGGACAAGAACGTCCCTTAATAACATCATGGCTTGGTGATCAGAGGTCCAATTGGCTTACTTCATGTTGAACTTATATTACTTTGTGTTGCAAACCATGATATTTCCTTTTTGAACTCTCATATCAAATGCTGTGTTTATTTTTTAAAAGTCAGTAGTAATTTAGTAATTGTTTTGTTATAGTGGTTATATTTAATGGCTATCCTCAGCACTTAACAATGAAAAAATTGTTCTTTAACTCACTGTGGTAACTGGGTATATGAGTGAACACATTCTCATGCACATGTTTTATAAATCATTCTTACTTCTGTCTGAAATAAAATTTAAAAACAAAACAAAACAAATAGATCAGAAACTAATGTTGCAATTTAAACCTATTTGAATTTTCTAACGCCCTTCAATTTTTCATAGCTTTTAAAGGTATGATTTTTATATATATTTTAATCTTACTGAATATATCTGCATAATAATAAGAATAATAAAATTAAATTAAACCTGATTAAAAAAAAAAACAGTTTTTAAAGATGTGGTGGGGAATAGTTGTCGTTTCTGTCTTTCTTGAAGGTCTAGAGTTATATTATAAGAAATCCATTTTTCATTGTCATGTCTTCTTTGATTGTCCCACTTCGTTTTTTACCTTGATCTTGTTGGTCTATTCTTGTCAGATGCCCTACTTCTGAGAAATTTCAGTCCTCTACATTTTTTCCCTTCTACAGTCAGCCTTCCACATCGAGGAAGAAGCACTCCATGCCGGCTTACTCTGGGGTTCCTTTGAACTTCCTTTATTCTGAAAAAGATCTCATTGCCACCAGTGAAAGGTTACTTATGTACATACCAAATGAAGCCAGTGGAGTTTTTTGTTGCTAGGAAATAGTGTTACAGAATTTTTTGGGGACTATGGAAAATGTGCTTACCCATCAATATTATATCAATGCACTCATCTAACCAGTAGTCCTAACTCAGTCCACTCTATAAAGTGGGGAATAACCTCCATTTCTACTGAAATTATCTTTCTCTATCACATGCAATATAGATGTAGTAGTAGCCTCTCTGTAAGTGTTCAAGTCTAGATTGACAGAGAAATTTAGGTCTTTAAGAGTGCCATTGAAATGCCTCCTGAGTATCTTTCAGGACCTAGTACTCCTTTCTTATTAGACACACTGCAACAGAACAAAAATTTCCTAAAGGAGATGCAGATTGTTTATGATTGCATTTACAAGACTTAGCTGGTTTGGTGAGCATGGATAAGTGTGTTGAGAAAAGGTCTAATGGATAAACTGAGTGCCTTGTTAACTGATCTTAAAAAAAAAATGGGTTTTGTAGTGAGCTTGACTTAATTTTGTTTCTGTTCTCCCCAAACCAGAGGGTCTGCTTCCTTGTCCAGTGAGTAAAAACTTCCCCTAGGCTTAAATGATGGGAGAACTTGCAAGAAAGGAAGCTGTCCTTTAGGTTAAGAAAGTGGAAAAACAACTGATCTGCATGACCTCAGCTTATATTAGTCATCAGCGTATTATGAATAAACAGATAAAATATCATTGTTTTGTTAATATTACTGTCTCTTCAGCTTTAGGTAGGGTTTTTTGTTTGATTTTGTTGTTTATATTACCTCAGCTGCTCTTTATCAATTTTTTTCTTGGACCCTGCACTGAATATGATTCAAATTTTCTGTTTAGGAATCTGTATTCATAGAAGTACAGAACTGACTTTTTGTTGGTGCTGATATGAATTATGAGAGCTGGGAATGTACTTAAGGTAACTTAATGTCTGTGAGTGACTCCAAGCCACCACAGTGCATTATTTTAAATGATTTTATAAACTACTGATAGAGAGCATTTTCAATATTTTATCTTTTCCTTCAAGTTTATCCAAGTAACCAATTGTATATGGCAGGCATCTGAGGTGCAACAGAGAAATCGGAACATTAGTGTGTGTCAGCTGCTGCTTAATTAGATATTTCTATGATGGGAAATAGCAGTTTCCCGCATTTAATCTGTTACAAGAACAGTAAAAAGTAGATGACTTTCCAGGAAAGTAATAAGGAATTGAGCCAGTAAAGCTGTTCTTAAATGTTTTTGCTTTGTTTTACCGATTGCCCCAAATAAGCAGCAAGGCTCCTAAATGTTCATCTTTATAGTTGGAGATACTAACCCAAATCTGAATTGCTGTTTTCTTTACCGCTGATCTTACAGAGATATAGATGATGATTAAGCTTAGGTCGATTCATGTGAATCCTTTTGGGATTATAGCTGGTGGGTTGCTATAATGCCTCTCACCTGTTTCAGAAAGCAGTAACAAGATACTGCTGGAGAGCATGGCTGTAGTCAGCAGGTGCTTCATACAGACTGGCAGCATTTCTGAGCAACAGGGATGCAGTAAGGATTATCGAACACACGAGATTTACTAGGTATATTCCTTGCAGAATGGAGTTGTCTTTATTGGTCTGTATTTACATTAAAAAAAGATTACAGCATCTGTTTCAGAAAGTCAAATATATATGAAGCCACATTAGTTATTTATATGTGGGACTTTAAAGGCAGTATTGCAAATTGTGCAGAGCAGTTGCTGACTCTTGGTCTGCCATTTATTTGAAACACGTATTGGAGCACAACTGATCACTGAACTTCTGTTCATGGTAGCATTCCTTCTGTAAGCTGGGGGCTTACTCCTTTTTCTACAGTATTATAATGATGCTTGTAAAAGATGCACTCTTTTTATGCCTCTCTGACTGAAAAGTTTTTGTAAAAATAATAATTAAAGCAAAAACCAGAATGACTCAGAAAGGGACTGTAGCTGAAGAAAATGAAAAAGCAGAATGATGGCACTTGTTCACTGTCACTCCTAACATCGTCAAACTGAGCTGCTGCTTTCTACTAGAGGTTGTCCCAACCCATCTGACCTGTACAATTTTCTAATAGCCAGGGAATTTGGACAGAGGCTTTGTGTGAATCCTTATCCTCTCTGTACAAGTAATAAGAGCTTTTCTCCTAAACACACTTTACTGGATAATTCTATTATCCATCAACATGGAACAATGGAACTGCACTTGCCAGAATTTACATCTTGGCTAATTATTTCTGCTTTTATTTAAATTAGTTTTTAAGCTTCTGCTTTATTCTGGCAACAGGCCCAAGTCTTTGGTAACTGAACACAAGTCTTCACATATCCTTAATTAGCAGCTCTTCCTCTTTTTAAATTTTACTTCCCTTTTTTCCTGTCTGTCTTCCCATTCTTAGGGTTTTTTTAAAACTAATTCTACTATGTCCTTTCAGCATCACTTTCCTATATTTTCTTCCTTTCTTTTTTCCTGTTTACTGGGTTTGTGGTCCTAACATGTGTCTTCTACTAGTGCAAGAAGGTTTCTACTAACTGTGTGTTTCCGTGACTGACATTTTGTGCCATATCCTTATGCAATCGGATCTAGAGCCTGATCAAAATGTTTTAGCTCGTGGCACTGAGTTCACTCAAGGTCTCACATCACAGACAAATTACACATGCCTTCTAACCAATTTGGATAAACAAACACTCTGAGGAGAATCTGAGATATCTTTTTCATGGGATTTAATTTCTTCGACCTTCCAGAACCTCAGGCGATTGGATGCATAACTATTCTCCACTTTACTAAAGATAAATCTCTCTCTTTTCAAATATATGTACATACATGCGCACTTATTTATTTATAGCTAAATAAGGTCATAAAAAAAACCAAAAAATCTAGGATGTTTTAACTATTTCATTGACTTTTCAGATTGTTTTTAAGCTGTTTTTTAAACTTTAAAGGCAACACTGATAGTGAACGGTTCCAAATGGTAAAACAGAAAATCCCCTTCAAATATAACCGGCCTGTAGAGGAGTGGCTGCAGGAAAAAGGTAACAGTCATTAAAACTTTCATTTTAAACTCATTTGATTCTAAACTCTCATTTTTAAAGCCTGCAAATAAATGTTTCTTAAATGATAATCGCCTGCTGCATAAATGACTGTTTTAATTTTCATTATAATTTGTGTCAGCTTCCACCTGCCATATGTTGATAAATCATGCTATAATACATTGCTATTAAAATGCAGTTAAAGGGACGAAAGTCTAAGCTTGCTAAAATAGTAATGACAAAAAAACAAGCGAAAATTCAGGAGACATTTTCAAAAAAAAAACAAAAAAAACAAATGAAGAAGAATGAAGAGCAACAACATGTATTATGGCAATTTAACCACTGCATGATTTTCCTACTTTGATTTGGTTTTAAGATAAATTTATATATTTATTATCAAAGTTTTGTTAAGAGATTTTTCAAATGTACTTGTTAAACCACTTCCTTTAAGTTCCTTTTTTTCTCATGAGTCTGATTAGCCACTATGGCTATATATTTCCTAATCATATTAAGATAATTAAACAATTTTTAAAAATGTTGTAAAAAAACCCATTTTTTAATATTTTCATTTAAATTACAGTTAGGGAGACAGAGAAAGATGATTGTTCTGTCTGGAGTACAGTTTAAACCCTCAAATGATGCATTTGTCTAAGTTATGGGTCAAATTTTTCCCTAACATATTCTCAGGCAGTGCTACTTAATTCTGTGGGTTTACCTGGAGTAATTGGCCTCAGTTCAGCAAAAGACTTGTTAACATGAATAAGTCCAGAGGGTTTGAATGAAAGTTCTGCACACAGTCCATGACCTGTTGAAATGAGGCTTGTGTCAGAACAACAATGTTTTCTTGTCAGGAATTTGGAGGGGAAAAAAAGGTCTTAGATGTAGAGCCCATTTCAAAGCCTGTTGAAGGTAACAGAATAACTTACTGATTTTGGTAGGGTTTGGACTAGGCTCTTGGTAATACAGTGGAGTTTAAGTCAGGAAGCTCTTCTCCCTCTATACTAAATGTGGCATTAAAAAAAAAATCATTGTAACTAACTCCTTGCCTTGAAATCTAGAAAAAGCAGAACACAATCTTCTCTTGTTTCCTTTTAATGAAAACAGTGCTAATAGAAGGGGGTGACCTTTGAACTCAGGTCTTGCATTTTCTGTGCTGATTTAGACTATGGTTCTTAACACATCTTCCAAGAAGGAAAACCAATCTTTTGTAGGACTGGAAAAATATAATTTATGTTCTGTTTCAAATTTCTAACCTCAGCTGAATTAACAAATTGGTTTATCCAGTATGGATTAAGGTCAGAGAGGATGTGGCTAAATACACTCAAAATATTTTTATGTGAAGGGCCTGATCCTGCAAAGTGTTGTGCACACTCAGTTCCTGTTGACTTCAACAAAAGCTGACAGTGTTGCTCGCTTTTCAGGTTTGGTCTACAATGGTGTACTGTTTATATCTAAAGCTAAAGTATTTTGAAAATAAGGCAAAAATATTTGTATAACCAAAAAAGAAATAGTTTTTTACCACCAGTTTTTTATGAACAGTTAATTCAGCTAATTTTTAAATAAATTTTAAGGTAGCAATAAACAGAAAATGCTTATTGAGTCTCAGTGGGTTGCCCTGTTAATTTACAAGATCAAACTAAAATAGATAAATAAAGTTTAACACTAAAAAGAGAATAATTTTGGTAAATCTGAATTGCTAAAGTCCCTTTAACACTAAAGACAATGATTGCCTTAATTTTGTTAAAACAGATGCATGTCTAATTCCTTGATGCAATTCATGTGCTTGAGAAACTCACCTTTGTTTTCTTTTCATTTGGTTTTGGGTTTGCTTTGATTTTTTTTTTCCTTTTTGGTTTTCTACCAAATCTTTTATTTTATGTCACTGCTTCTCCAAGTTTGAGCTTAAAAGCATGCCAAGACACTTCCATTTGTAAGCCATCCTGAAGTTTTGAACTGAAGTCTACCTTTTGTGCTTTGTTAAAAGACAATCACACATGCACTAGGGTCTAAAAGAGACAGTATTTGACTGTTCAGACATTCTCAAAGCACTGGATGTTTTTAGGCTAGAAGGGTAGAGCCATGTTTTTACTAAAGTGAAAGGAAATTCAGTCTTCCCACTTTGTGTGAGGGAATGACATTGTGCAGTGTAACAGCTGAGACAATATAGCTTTGTTCCTTCATTCCAAAGTACGTAGACTTTTTCAGCAACTAAGGTACTACTCAAATTAAAGAATTATAGGAATGAGTGATTTATGTAGCTGTTCACCAACCTGCTCATCCATCTGGTCATCCATCTAACAATTAAAGTAACATGGAAACCTTCTATCAGAAGACTTTATAAAGATGATGAGTGAAAGGGTAGCTTGCTATCAAAATGGAGCAAGATGGACTGATGGATGGAGGAGTAGATTCATCAGAGAGGCAGCATATAGAATAGCTGTCTTGCCCATATGAGTTCTTGGCTTGGGTGAGGTAAGATGAAACACTTTTTAATTGACATTTGGTACCACTGCTATGTTATTCATAATAATGAAATAGTTCATTCTTGGATAACACATCTTTCTGAAGTGGCATCATTACTGGCTTTGGGGGGCTTTTAAATTTTATAAATTATTTGAAAATATTTTTAAGAGGAGCCTAGGTTTACAGTCTTGAATTGTATGAGTAATGAGCAAAATATTAAATGCTATTAACTTCACTGAGATTATGTATGTGAATATAAAAAGAAGTATTAGTCTTAGATTGTTCAACTTGAGTAGTCATAAATCCAGCAGATTTCCTTAGCAGAATACTTGGTGTCTGCTAAGGCACAGATGTTACCTGTTCCGCAACTGGATGTGTTAATAAAGACCCAGAAGCATCTCATCAAAAGGACTGATCCCAGAAGTTCTTAATTATTCAAATCTCTCTTACCTGTAAAGTCTCATTGATGTAAGTGACTGTACTTTTGAAGCAAGAACTATTAGTGTGAATTAGGATTTGCAAGATCAGACCCTTTTCTGTAGTGCTACAGAAAAGTTACACTTTACTAAGATTTCTCTACGATATTTTTAATTGTAATTCAGTTTTCCAAATGAAGAAGTCAATGAGAGAGCAAACAAAGAAGCAAGAGCCTGAACTATTCAAAATATTTAAAAAACACCTCAGAAACTTAAAATATGGTCATAATTTATCTTTAGTATGACACTAAAATAGCAGTAGGAAGAGTTCTCTGGGGGAAAAAAGGACTGTAATTCTACAGTCCTTACAGACCTAGTAGAATTTACTAATGTAAACAGTTCCTGAATGAAATTCAGTGGCCAAATAAATTTTACCTAGAGGAAGAAAGGGCTTCCAATCAATATAATCAAAAAATGATTAGAAGAGACATACGGTGACAGAATTAAGTGTATATTCTCTCAACAGTTATTTTCTCATTCCATATGCATTTCCCTGTTGTCTTTATTCATGTGGATGTACACCATCTTAGAGTGAAGAATGAGGAATTCCAGTAGGTGACTGCAACAAGTGATTGTTCTTTTAGCAAACACAGTTCTAGTAGCAGTGCAGTAATGCTACATGTAGCATTAACTATATGGTGCAGTGCATGAATCCTGGTCTAGAAAACCACTGAACAAACAATGAAGATCCCACACACAATCCAAGTTCCTTTTTTACTAGAATGGGGTCACCTCCTTGGTGTACACTTTCTTTCAACATTTGAAGACGCAGGTGAAGGCCCAGAATTGGAAACATGGCCTTTTTTTTAACTGTAATATACTAACTCCTCATTCTTGAAAATAAAGCAAGAGATATGACAGACATGTTTAAAGCTGTGCTATGAGCTTGAGTTAGAATAGATGACATCCTGAGGAGAGTCGTAATCCTCCAGTAAAAGCGAGAGAGTCCCTTTTTTCTCCTGGTTTGGGGAGCTCTCTTACCTGGAGCAGTAAAAATTCTCCATTCTCATTATCTTCCACCTTTTCCCTTTGGCAAAAGATGAACAAAGATTCAGTATTGATTCAAAGGAAGAAAGGAATGGAAATGGAAATGGAAATAAACTTTTAATTGTCAGTACCTTCCATCCATTTTCAGGGATAACATCTCAAGATTCTCAAGTGAAATAACTCCCCGTTCTTTACTCATCTTACCTCTACTTTTTGGCATTCTTATCATGAGTGAGGTAGGAAGGAGGGAATAGAGGTGAGTGACATGTCTGGGTTCATAGGGACAGGGACAATACGGACAGAAATATAGTGCTAAAGGGAGGGAACATATTAGAAGAAGGGAAAATGGTGTAGTAAAGATCTTACAGCATATCCATTAAAAAATCGAAAGCAAAACAGGACAGAAAAAGAAAAGCAAACTCTGAGGACATGGTATGGGAAAGGAGTTTGACCTTCTACAGTGTACAGTGCCATTTCCTCTAACTCAGAGAGGAGCTGGGCTGAGAGGGCTGAATATCTTGACAGATACTGTTATTGGATTCTATTTTCCTCATAGACAAGAATAAAGGCTCTGTTTACATTCTGAGGATGTGTGGCTTCAGTGCATGTTTGTTGATGTTTTAATAGACATATGTTGCCTCTGGCAAGTTTAAAACCTCCTGAGATGCAGAATATCGCATCAGGTGTTTCACACTTTCCAGGGGAAGGATACCCTCCATTTTTATTTTTCATTTCTTCATCAATGCAGTTACTCCACCCTGATCAAGTCCTAATTTTTCGTTTACAAATCTGTGGCTGAGGAGCACAAGGGATGTGCAGCCCACCTCCACATGTCTGTATGTTACACCTGTCCATACACTGTTACTTAGTTAGCTAGGGCCCTCTTTGGGGACGAGAACTACTTTCAGATACATTTCTTCTCTTGTCCCTGTTCTCTTCCCCGTGGTCCATCCTGTCACCATAAGATGATGCTACACCGCATCACCACTTGACTTCAAGACCCGTCACGACGACCACCAAAATTGGTGAGCTCCCCCTCATATTTTGATCTACTCTAACCACTGGCTGTGAAGGAACGAGCAGTGGGTTATAGCTTGTGCTGTGCTACGTGGTGGCATTCTGCACCTCTTATCAGCTTGGACTAGACAGAGAAAACGGCGAGTGAGAACTGGAGAGTGGGAATGGGATGGGAACATGTCCTTTAAACTTCATAAAAATGGGAAAACACAATAAGATATTTGAACGATGATTGACTTGATGCTGCATTGATAATTCTTCTGAGCTCTGTCCAGTCTGATTGTCTGCTAATTCAACAAATTCCAGGTGTCATGCCCCTAATCTTCTGAGGAATAGTGAAGTTATAGGCACTACCTTTGCACTTCATGAAGCAATTTATTTCTTAACATGGTCAACTAGTGCAGCCTGGCACATAAACAGTATTTATAGGGCAGTCCAGGCTGAATGTGATGTGAGCATCCTGCAAGCCTAGGTGAATTGGCAATTGTTACTAGATTTATTTTTAATAAATACATTTTTTATTACATATGATATTAGACCACTTCTAACACTCAAGGTGTGACCTTGCTAAACCACATAACCTGCATCCGTTTGAATTTCACCATCTGTAAGAGAGGAGTCGCACGTTAGACATTCTGGGGCTTAACTGTCTGGAGCGCTGTTATCTTCACTATTTCAAAAGCTTTGCTCTTTCAGAGACATCACAAATGCTTGCATTTGCTGTTTGTTGGGTTTCAATTTGTGAGCCTTCACAACACAAACTTTACAGGTGAAAATTCATGGCTGATACTGTCGTAAGATTCCTACTCAATCCTTATACCACCATATCAGTTTTTTCTGATGTTTTACTGTCTTCAAGCCACCCCTTAAAACAATTGCATTAGTAAAAGTATCTCTATGAGTTAATTCTATCCTTTAACAGTCAAAATAGAAGGTTTATTTATAGGCTAAAGCCTGACAGGTACTGTAATCTGAATTGATAGTAGAAAAATGGCTACATAATGAAGTCTTATTTGTAGTTTAAAATGGGTCCAAGTCTAAAAGAGTGGGTTCAAATTTTTGAGTCAAAGCTCCTCCAGACTTTTGATGTGTGAGTGGATGTTGAAGTATGGGGTTTTAGGTGTTCTTGCTTTCAGGATAATCTTCCTTATTAATGATCTTTAGGCAGTACATTTCCATACTGTCTCTCTACAGTCATCATAATCACTACCAAAAATAAATCTACTTCTTTTTTGTATGTGATTTCTGGCCAGGGTTCAGTGTAATATGCAAAGTGAAGGAAATGTCTGGCAATAATGTTATTCACCCCCCTTCACTAGGACGACAGTTAACGATCTTCAACACCCAGGCGCAAATAGCCATAGGAGGGAAGGACAGAGGGCGTCTCTTTCAAGGCCAGCTCTCCGGTCTCTATTACAATGGCTTGAAAGTGCTGAACATGGCAGCGGAGAACAACCCCAACATTAAAATCAATGGAAGTGTCCGACTCGTTGGGGAAGTCCCATCCATCCTGGGAACAACACCCACAACCTCTGTGCCACCGGAAATGTCTACTACAGTCATGGAAACCACAACTACGATGGCGACCACTACGACCCGAAAAAATCGTTCACCGCCCAGCATCCAGGTGAGTCAATTAGTCTTCTGCATTTCCTTGGGTTCTTAATTAGTCTTGCTACTCACTTGTAAGTTCATGGAAGTCATATTCTCTGAATCAGGTTCCACGTAACTCTTTATTTTAACAATGTTGTGTAGGGTAAATCACAAAAAAATGTTGTCCTCCTGTGTTGGTGAACAAACAGCTGGATGAATTGTTATGGCACATGTATGGGGTAATGGGGACATATTTTGCTTTTATTCTAGTGCAACCCCATTTATGTCACTAGGATTGCCCCACTGTGAGCAAGAACATGCTTTTAACTGTTTCCAGAGTTCCCTATGTGGGGAAATGTATTCTATTCCTAAGAGAGTTACAAAGCTTAGTGGGGGTGGGTGTATGGTTATTTATTAATACGACAGTATGTACTGCTGCAATAGTGACATTCATAATGAGCAGAAAAGCGATGGAGAATTACTTCCAGTTAGAGTCATTTTTCATTTCCCCTTTATAGCCTTCCTGCAGAGAATTTTGAAGGAACGCTATCAAGATCAGTTTCTTGCAAAATGTAGATGTTCCAACCTATTTCGTAAAAATCATTCCTACAAAAAGTTAATTTCAGAAGTTCTGACTTAATTATGTTAATGTAGGTATTTCAACCCTAAATGTGTTGGTTTTGGAACCACTTTCGTGGCAACCAAAATGTGGTACGGACTAGAAATAAACACCTTCAATTGGCTCTCCTTGTCTGTGCAAAGAAAAGAATCCTGTAAATGACCAATCTGAGCCGTGGATGAGATTCTGAAAATTATTTATTTCAGGGATGTACTATCGTGTTATCAACTAGAATGAAACATTTGTTTTGAAATCATTAAAGAGATAGATGGAGCTACTGAAGAGACTCTAACAAAGGGCCTCAAAAATGGTTAAGAGACTGGAGCATTTCTTCTGTGAGAAAAGGCTGAGAGAGCTGAGACTGTTCAGCCTGGAAAAGCGAAGACTCGTGGGAGATCTTATCAGTGTGTACAAATACCTGAAGGAAGAGTATAAAGACAACAGTGGTGCCCAGTGACAAGACCAAAGGCAATGGGCACAAACCAAAACACAGGACTTTCCCTCTAAATGTCAGGAAACGTTTTTAATGTGAGGATGACTGAGCATTGGCACAGGTTGCCCAGAGTGGTTGTGGAGTGTTCATATTGGTAAATATTCAAAACTCACATGCACATGGTCCTGGACAACTGGCTCTGGGCGACCCTACTTGAGTAGGGGTTTGGACTAGATGACCTCCAGAGGTTCTTTCCAACCACAACTATTCTGTGACTCTGACTGCCGTAGAATTTACAACTATTAGAGTAATTAATTCCTAGCCAAGGTTTAACAGTGCCCCCTTTGGTACTCTGTAAATCCAGATGGAAGCAGGACTGGAATTAATTGAGTTAGTAGCCTCAAAAACCCGATAGATGATTTATAAAGTCTCAGCCAAATGAGGGGAAATTATCCTGGGTTTGGTCACTATTTGCCACAAACTTTGAAAGAATTACAGTTCTTTCTCTGCGGTGATTAGTTCTAATTTTAGAAAAAATGTTTGTATGGTTACCTCTCCAGAAGTATAAAGTCTGTGGTTCTTATCCTTCCCTCTATAATTTCTAAAGGTAGCAGAACTGTGTTTAGCTATAGCAGTGTAACAGAGAGAGCACTGGACCTTTTTGGGCTGGGTCAAACTGGAAATAACACTGGCTTACTTAAAGAGGAACTCTCAGAAAGCTTCCTGCCTAGCCTACATGGCAGCTAACTCAGCCTGCAGAGACCATCGTGTACTGAAAGAGCATCAAGAAGATTTAATAAAGTGTCAAAGTGCTTCTAAAAACATGGTTAGAGCAGCGATTTCCTGGATACACATGCACCACAACAAATGGCCTCATCTCAGCTGATATTAAAGCAATAACTCTTTGACACTTCATGCTACCCGCTGAAAGAGAAATAAAGGTCAATATGTACCTCTATTACAACTTTCTGCATTTCAATATTGGGCCATTTTATTGCTGTCACAGCACAGATGGCTCGCCTTTCTTCCTTACTTTTGGTGGAATTTGATTCTGTCAGCTTAAGTTGCATTATTTGTGTGGTGAAAGTGAGAAGAAATTGTCTTTTTCTGTTTTGGCAGTATCTCCAGTCGTGGTTTTTCAGGTACCTAGTGGTTATTTTATCTTGCTTGTGTTTGACATCACCATCATCACGCCTGCTTACAATTTTAGATCTAAGTGGTGGAAAAATCTAATAGAACAAGTTTGTTCGTTGGAGAACATAAAATATAGCTACCTAAGGCTATGAACAGTACAAATACAGTTAGTTATTACCTTGTTCCAGCTTTCTCTTCTCTTTTCTGTTCAGAAATGAACAATTTTTCTTTGCTTTCAAGGTTGTTCGAAGTTTAACCTCTTCTCTCCTGATTCTGATCAGCATGATTCAAGCATTTTTTCGCTCATTCCTTATACTTGATCATAAGAATCTTTCTGCTTCCCGGTACCATACACAAGTCAACAGCAGGTTGTTCTTCCAATCCCATGGAACTCTCCTGTCTCCATGATGCATGTCAGAAAGTTGTCAGAGGTTAGGCTGATGATGGTCTAAGGCAGCTGTTTATCAAGTCAATCCATGTTGTCACTTTTTTTGATTTCATTATCCATGTTTCTGTACCCATGTGTGATATCTTGTTTTGTGCTAAGATTACAGACTCCTTGGGTTCAAAATGTACTTTTTATTCTACACATGTAAATTACTTGACACAGAATGGCTCTGACCCATTATGGAAATATCAAACATGATACATGTAGAAAATGCAACATAGCAAGAATCAGGGTAAAGAATTATTATTCTTACTCTATTAGGAGTATCTGTGCTATTTGTATTACTCATTTTCATATGTGAGTAACTAAAACTTCTCCTTTTTGAAACACATATAAAGCTTGTGCAGCATAGCAAGTCTGTAATCCCAAAGTGATACAAAATCCAGGGGAATTTCAGTAGGATTTTGATTTATACAAGACTTGTTAAGGAAGTACAGAAGAGCATGATAAGTGCAAAGATATCTTCTGTTTGTAGAATACACTAAGATACCTTCTGCAGTTAGGTAGTCTGAGTACTGATAGAAGTATTTTAGAGCACAGTTAGACTAAAACAGTTGAGAAAATGAAGTGCTTTAAAAATACACAGTATTAGTTCAGACAAATGACATGCTCCAGTTTGTGAAGATCCCAAGCATGGTACATAGTCTTGGACAAACAACCAAGACAAAGGGAATTGAGAGAATATTGCAGGAAATACCCAGTGGCAATGAAATTAGCATTCGAAATGTCTCTAATGTCTTTTTTTTTTTTTTTTTAATTTATACTAACATTTCTGCAAGGCAGTGAAATTCAGATCAGTGGAGGACAGGCAGGATTTGAGTGAGAAACAGTTGAGATGTATGGCTATGCTCTACTGCTGGGAAAATGTTTGTGATTCAGAGAGGCCTCGAAGGAAGATAACAAGAACTGACCTTTTCTGTTAAATGAAAATAAGGAAGAAAAAGGTGTTTCAATTTGTGTTTGTTTCAGTGAGTCACAAGTGGTGCTTGTGCTCTGCTGTTCCTGAGTGGAAGCACTGACTTGACTTTCTCACACATGGTTTTGTTCTGGATTTAAGTACAGTCTGTTCAGAAGTGACGTGTTGTACTAATTCTTGCTGCCTGTCTCAGAGCCCTGTCACACCAGAGTCTTCTGTGATAATAATATCCTCTCAGGGACTTCTGCTTTGCCATGTTATCCCACAAAGACCTCAAAGACAAGCTGTTAACTTTTAAGTGTGGTACAGTAGTGTGCCGTGCAAGCTGCTATTAGATAAGAGTCACTGTACTGAGCCACATCACATTCTTGCAAGACTGTCATATTTCTCACAGTGTTACTTCATTAGTTAAAGGTCTTGGAATCCCACATGTCCCTATTTCCTGATTTAGAACACAGCTTCAATTATTAATGAAGTACTACAGGGGTTTTTTGTTTGGGAGACCTCTGTGAAAACAGGTTAAAGTGACACTCATTCTCTTGGCTTCTGCTTCCATGTCACTTGCTTATGTGGTCAGAATTCTTTTTTGTGAGTTGCTGTTCAAAGCTTTTTTGGAGACTCTCCATATGCTTTTATGTGGCACGTTCTGTCTGGTTCACAGCTGGGTCATTCAGTTTTCAAACAATTTGTGCAAAGATATCTTTAGAGTTAATTACTAAGTAAAGCTAGTCTAGAAAGCATGTATCATGATACACATCTTCCATTCAAAACACATCCAGTTCAGCAAATCCAAGAAGAGAACCACTCCAGGTAATCTTCCATGTAATTTTCTAAGGCACACTGCCCTAGGGCATGCCCCTAATATGCTGGTCTATGGCATGGGTTGCTGGGACCCAAGATAAACCACTTTTCTGTGAAAAAGAGATCAGAATCCTTCTGAGAGGACAGATAGACTTCTGGTTATGCTCTCCATGAGGAACCAGAAACTATGTGCCCTGTTACATAGCCAGGGCATGCCTCAACCTCTTGAGATGAGGATAATGACACCAAACTGTTCAAACTGTACCTTGAAGTGACAAGCATAAATTACTTGTGGATGTTTTCAGCTATGATCTTACAGCCATAGAATGACAGTGTATGATACATTATATGCAGAACATTCTCCCTATGGAATAGAAGAGGAGATCTGCCCATTGTCCATATGGAGAGTCCAGCCCATTGACGTGCCTTAGAAAAGGTTCTCAACCTTTATTTTTAACCATTAGGCTTTTCAGCCTTCTAACTATATTTTCTATTGAGGGTCCAATAATCTTGATTAATGTCTTTCCATAACGTGCAGCTCCAGGCTAAATCCTTCCTTACAGTGTATATCACAAAGGAAAATAGCATAGAAGATTTGTCAGTCTAATTAGACTTTCACTGTCAGTAAGACAAATAAAATTGTCTCACCCTTGGTCTTACCTAGGTACTTTCTTTTACAGTCA